CAGAATTCCCCAGCCAGACTTGCTGGCTGGGGAATTCTGGGAGTTGAAGTCCACACATCTTGAAGTTGCAAAGGTTGAGAAACACTGGTTTAGGTCATGGTATCCATAACACAACAAGTGACTTGGCCTTGATGTCAGCCCTTTGACATAGAGGAAGTCAGAAAACAGACTCCACATGAAATGCTAAAACTGTCCTGATACAGGTTACAATAGCAGAATTTTGAAGGCCTGTCAGTGTTTCCCCTTCCCTCCCTCTTGTACCAAAGAGTGTCACGGTGGGGCAACCTTGAGTTTTTTTCTCACACTTTCCTGTTTCTTGGGCTAAGCTCCTATTTTATTAACAGTTGCTGCATATTTTCTTCAAGGCCATCTCTATAGCCCTCTACACTGGACCCTTCTGCTTTCCAGGTGTCCCCTCTCCTTAGAAGTGGTTATGAGGACAAAAGTTGCCCTAGTAGTAGCTTTGGAACTAGAGTTGAGGTCTCCAGTGTAATGCCCGGTGGGGTAATGAGCCTTCAGATACCTCTTTTAGTGTCTGCCTGGAACCCGTTTGACGTCTTTCATTGAAAGAAAAAATCTAAAACTTAAAGAAAGGGAAGTAGGCGTGCTGCAAAGCGAAACACCATCCTCCTGTGTAATCTTTGTTTCTAAGTGTGTCTGAGGGCCTCATAGACTTTCTTACAAAATCATAAACTGCTGCCCAGTGTTTTGCTCAGGAAAACGACATAGGAGGATTCTGGGAGATCAGAGTTTTGTAGCTGCTTCTGTCATCAGCCCAGAAGGTGAGACTCTTCCACATTCGCCCACCAGCTCAGAAAGGTTGGCAAATCCTTCCCTTCAAAATCCTCTTATATATCGCAAGTTTTTTTTTTCCCTTAACGTCTGGCAAAGATGCATTATTCTCCCACGCTTTTAGAGTTAGTTGCATGCAAGTGTTCCTATCTATTCCTGGGGCTGCTGTTGATTTTTTGGTGAACTCCTATGCAGTTCTGTATTCTTGCAGGATGTAGGAATGGCCCTACATTCTGCTGTGTTTCACTGGCACTGTTAAGTTTTATGCCAAAGGTCTCTATCAAGAACTGTTACTCTTGTTATCTACTATTTTTGCTTTGTTTCCTTGTTAAAATAAAAGCAGATTCGAATGTACTCAAGTTAAGTCAAATGGGTCCAAATCTATATTAGGCTAGCTCAAAAGTTGCCAGAGGCACGCTTTTAATTTGGCTGCCAGGTTGGAAAAAGCAGATGAAAGGAGAAGAAAAAGAATGACTTGATGTTGGTGGCAGAAAGGATTTCAGGAGGGAATATGGGAGGAGGCTGCAGACATTTAAATTAGCTTCTGCTCCCCACTGAGATGGTTTCAGGTTTTAACCCGTTTAAGCCCCTGGGACTACTGGTTTCAGATTGCAGTAAAATAAATGATACTCTTCTGCTCCTTCTTCCTTTCACAAGCAGATAAATATATTTAATTAAGACAGATCTATTGTATCCTTCACAATGCGTATGCTAGAGCAGTTTACACCTTGTAAAAGATACAGTAATATAATTAAGTAACTGAAAGTAAATCTCCCTGTTTGCAGGAGGGGGTTTTCTTCTGAATAGATTACACAGCATGCAGTATACATAAAGCAGGGACGAGAAGATTCATCCACCAGTGCTATTTCTCTTTCTGCCAGGAACATTTGGCATGTGTGGGGCCCTGAAAAGGAATTTCAAGCACTCCTCATTTATATTTTATAAGTATGGTGTTAGGTGCTGCAGAGCCTCCTGTCCCTCTGCACAGGTTCTCCATCTATTAAAAAGCAGAAGAAATCATAAGATAAGTTGAAGAGAAAAGGGGAATCTTTTTGCAATTTGGGAAAAATAGAAAGATAGGTTAAGGAATGAAGCAGAAGTGGGAAAGATTAAAAAAAAAAGTCAAATAATACATGTAGAAGGAAAAACAAGAAAAAATATTAGCAATTTTTCTTTTCCCCGAGAGAAGGTCTGTCACAGATTGTTTCTATCACTCTTGTAAACCCAACACAAGTTACTCATCCATATTCTGATCTTTCTTTCTAAGAGAGAGGCACCTGAAAATGTACAGTTCCCTTGTCTGACTATAGTTCTAGTCCACAAGTAGCTCTCAGGAGTCCTAATTTCCATCTTACTAGGCTGATTTGCTTTTTTTTTTTTTTTAAACCTCTTTCAGAAATGTTGAAAATGGATCCAGCTCTTCAGCCTCGACCAGTGACCAGAGCAGACATCCGTTTGAGGTGAGCTGTTTATAAAAGTCTCCATTCTGTGTAATGGGTATAAATACATAGAAAGGAGATGAAGAATAATCTGCAAAATGTTTACCCAGGATCTTTATATCTTCCCCGTTTGCTTTAACAGAGGGGCAAGAGATTCCAGGTTCCAATCCTAAATGAGCCCCTGCAGCTTGGGAAAGGAATGGAGAGTGTCCGTTAGGGTCAATGGATGGTATTCCTTTTGCCTGTTAAAAACTCAGTGCAGTGCCTAGAATCCTCTTCATTTAGACCAAGAAAATCTTAGTTCCCTGGAGCCAGGCTGCTAGCCATAGTGAATTGTCCATGGTTGACTGGAAAGTTCTGTTCCTTCCATTCTAGTTCAGGATTTGCAGCACAGTTAGGCAGGCTGGGGACTATAGACGTTGGTTAGCCCCACAGACACCTCCCTTGGCACCCAACCAGATCCCTTTTTTAAAATTTCCAAATTAATGCAGAAAGCTCCCACAAAGGAGGAGCCCCTAGCATTATATTTATTTCTGTGGATACCTTTGGGCCTCACTGGGTATTAGAAAATAAAAACGGTTAGTGGATCCATCCCAGGGCTTTCTATACTTAGCTGCCCAGAAGAAAAGGAAAAAGGAAGTTAGGTGGTTAAGGAGAGTCCTAGAGAAGATGGCAGAGAAAAAACTCATTGGTAAATGAGTATTTTGTGACTGGCAGCCATTTTGTAAATGGGCCACTTTCCTTCCATGACAGCCATGATGATGTGCTCTCAAAATTCCAGAGGTGCCTCCCAGTCTCCAGAGGTGCCATGGTGGGTTTTCAGAGCTCAACTGACTGGCAGAAAAGCAAAGAGAGGCACCTGGATCAGACATTTGGAGTTTCAGCTCCCATGAGCTTCGGACAAGATGAGTAATGGTAAAGGACTGTGGGAACTAATTCAAAAATACAGGTAGCCCTCACCTAACAACCACAATAGGGATCATAAAATTAGTTAAGTGGGGTGGTTATTAAACAAGTCACACCCGATTTTGTGAACTTTTTGCAAGGGTTATTAAGCAAATCACCATGGCCATTAAGTGAATTACACAGTTGTTAAGTGAATCATGCAGTTCCCCATTGATTTTGCTTGCCAGAAGCCAACTGGGAAGATCGCAAATAGCGATCACATGACCCCAGGACACTGCAACCATTGTAAGTGCGAGCTGGTTGCCAAGTGCCCAGATTGCGATCACATGGCTGCGGGGGTGCTGAGACAGGTGCAAGTGCGAGGACCAGTTGTAAGTCCCTTTGTTCAGCACCGTTGTAACTTCGAACAGTCACTAAATGAATGGTTGTTAAGTGAGGACTACCTGTATCTGGAGAAGATGTCAGGTTATCTGCCCCCATAACAGGCGGTCCTAGGCTTCTCACCGGTCTCCATAAGTCACCTTCCTCTGTTCTAAGCAGTTTTTTCTCTCTGGCTCTTTCTCTCTCCCTTCTAGAATGTGGATCAGCCCCTCTTCACCCTCCCACAGGGCTACGGTCAGTTTGCCTTTGGGATAATTGACGACAGTTTTGAGTTCCCAGCCTTTGGATCCAACACACAATCAGAAGATAACCGTGATGCTGAGAACAGGCGGGAGAGGGAGCATCAGTCTCGGCACCGATATGGAGCCAGGCAACCCCGGGCTCGTTTCACTGCACGGCGGGCAGCTGGGAGGCACGAGGGAGTCCCCACACTAGAAGGGTGAGGACAGTCATAAGTGTTGCCTCTTTGAATATAGATCCTTTAAAACCGTGGAAGTGGATTCCTGGTTCATGTTGACTGCTGATTCAACTTGCATGCAGGAGAACAATAGTTTGGGGAGGGGGTGTGGGGGCCTTAGTTAAAACAGCAGCTCGCCCCAGTCTGGGTCAGCCAAATTGGTTGGAACAGCACTGTGCACAAAGTTGGAGTGCACAAAGCCACTGTGCACAAAGCCACACCCAGGTTGGAGGTGAAAGATACTGTATAATTAAAAGATTAAGTTCCAGAAAACACTTCCAGAGTGGAAGAATTGGGCAATGCCCATATCTCTAGCCACCATTTGGAGGTCACTAGAGCATGGCCACTGTCTTTAAGAAGGCAGCCAGTGATGCTTAAGTGATACACCCATATGTCACTGCAGGGTCAGATTAGAAGAGGCAATTTAGTAAAGTATGAGAAGGGAATGCTTTTTCCAAGAGTGTCCTTATCTTCTATTGCTTTAGAAAGATCTGCACTTAAGAATAATAGGATTATTCTGGGGTCCCCTTTGTGATAGCAGCAGCACCGTCTTTGATACCACTATCTTCCTGCCAGACCAGGTTGAAAAGGAAAATAAATGTGTTTAACAGAAAAAGCACCCGTCTCTAGCATTATCTTTATTTCTTAGAACAAGGCTCCGTAATTTCCTAGCAACTGAAGCTAGTGCTTCTCTGGAAAAGAAATGGATGTGACATGGCGCAGGGAGTTTGTTGGGAAGAAGATGGAATGGATGCTTTAAACCTTGCACAGTCTTATGAGGCTCATTTATCCCCAAGTGGGAAAACAAATCCAGGAGGTTGCAAAGGTTGACCATTTTGGCCCCCCAACAGGTGGTTCTGGACTTAACAGATCGGATGCTGGGAGCTGAATACCACGTCTTGGAAAGTAAAATGGAGAGTGATTATGTATAGATGAGGGCTTTGCTTATGCTCATCTGGCCAGGAAAAAAGGACAAGTATTAGCTGGGATGGTTGAGAGAAACCTGGGGCCAGAGGGAGAGGGGTTTCATGATGGCCATGTGGACTGTTCGTTTGTTTTATTCCATTTGGTGTTGCCCAACTCCAGGCAGCTCTGGCAGCTGACAGTACACCAAACAAACCAAACTAGAGCAGAACAAAAAGGGGAAAAAAGAACAGGATGGCAGTCATGGTAGTCATTCTCTAATAGGGCCCCTAATATCCTTTTAAAATTCCAAATTTTCCTCCCAGCACCAGAAACTGGGGAACCGTGAGCTCATTCAGCAAGTCTCTTCTCCCTGCTTGAGAATGCCTCAAATTTCGTTTTTTCCTTCTTTTTGGCAGAATCATCCAGCAGCTGGTCAATGGGATTATAGCACCAACCACGATACCAAACCTTGGAGTAGGACCTTGGTGAGTTGGTCAGAGCACACTCCAACCTGGTACCCTCTAGATCAGTGTTTTTCAACCTTAGCAACTTTAGGATGTGTGGACTTCAACTCCCAGAATTCTCCAGCCAGCATGGGAATTCTGGGAGCTAAAGTCCGTACATTTTTCAGTTGCTGAGGTTGAGAAACACTGCTCTAGATACAGTTGATTTCAAACCCTAGAATTCTCATCTACCATAGAGTACTCTCTTTCTGAAAAGGTTATTCATCCCTGGTAGATATAAACCATGACGTCTTGAGTAAACTGAAAAGCAAAATGGAATTCTTAGGCTTATTCTAAGAATCCTCCAAAGTCAATAAACCTTGACCATCTGCCGTATGGCAGCCTGCCAGTTCCAGTGAAGGCTTAACTTTTCCTCCTGTCCTTTCTTTGTTTTGGTGCTTTCTATTTATAAAGGGGAGTCTTGCATTCAAATCCCATGGACTACGCTTGGGGCGCCAACGGCTTGGATGCCATTATTACTCAGGTACAGCTGGCTGTATGTAGGGCACATCTCTTCCTTTTGCGGGGTGGGGAGGGGATAGAATGGTGGCATAGGGAGGGTTCAGAACTGAGTACTCCTGTGTTCTCTTTTGTGGGCTCCCACAGTTTAATTTTAGAAGGCTCAAGTTCCCTTAGCTAAAGGGAACCTCCGTGTTAGGGGACAGTCTGTCCCAGGATTCATGCTGGAGGCCAACAGCAGAAGACTGTAGCCTACAAACCCTGCTTACGCGCTTTGTGGAGGCACTGGGCTAAAAACTGGGAGGAAACAGGGTACTTACTGCCTTGGTCTATGCAGCAACTTATATAAAAACTTTATAACCGCAGTTATAAACATGGCCAAGGTGAGAACCTCTCAAACATCCGTGTCACTTGGTTACGTGTAAATGTAATTTGGAGGTAACCCTCTACATGCCTCCCATAAAACATTTGGCGTTAGAGAGCTGCTGAGAGCGGGAGGTTTTAAGCATGTGGGATTCTTGTTCTTAAAAATGGTTTAAAGGAAGCTGGAGTTTGGGCTTTGTAGAGTGTCTCAGTGGAGCAGATGCACACTTGAATGGGGGCCAGGTGGCAGCAGAAGCCTAGCCTGAAAATTGGAGGATTGGAAGGGATGATGGAGTCCAGTCCTGGTAAAGCATTCCTGGACAGAGTGTCTCCAGCCTCAACTCGAGGACCTGGGTTGGTTTTTTGATCATGACTGAGCTCTTAAGCTTGGGACATCCAGGTTTGCTCCTAGCTGCTCTCACGCCATCTTTGTTGGGTGGGGTGGGGAAGTAGCTGAAGGCAGGAAAGGGGGGTTGTATTGCTGTTAACCAGCTGCTGGAGGTTTAGCTGACCCTGGTTATCCTGATACCCAGACCTTAGACAGTGGGGGGGGGGAGGCGCCAGTTGTGTCTTTTTTCAGGCGTGGACTGTTACACTGGGTGTTTGAATGGGATGCTGGAATGCTTTCCCCCAAATGGGCAGGGCTGAAAGGAAAGAGAGCCTGTGACAAGAATTAACTTTAACCCTGAATTTATTTCAGCAGGCTGACTTTTTATGGGCTAGGAAGTAATGAAGGACTTGGCCTGGGTAATACTTGGATTGGAGACTCCCGGGATTTCCAAGCTTGATTAACAGCTACGATCTGGCACCAGCGCTGGGAGTGGTTCTTGGAAGGGACCACAGATTGTGGCCTTCTCCCCTTCCTTTGTCACCCTTTTATTTTCTTTCAGCTCCTGAATCAGTTTGAAAACACCGGCCCGCCTCCTGCGGACAAGGAGAAGATTCAGGCCCTCCCAACAATTCATATAACAGAGGAGCACGTTGGTAATGGCCTAGTCACTTTTCTTCCTCTTTTTTCCCCCCAGCCGTTCAGAAAGAGCTAAATCATCCAATCAGAGTTTTTCTTTTGAATAGCATTATTATTTTTAAAAGGTTCTGCTGCTTTATTGTAGTTTTTGTTGGCTGGCTTTCCTTCCTCTCTTTTGCTCCTTGGTTTAGTCTCTGGTTCAGGGTTGGCGGCTTTAATTCCTTTCTGTGGTTGGTAACCAGAGACGGGCAAGGTTTCTTAGGCTCACCCTAGATTAACTTGGAACTGATCTCAGTTTTTTCCTAAAACTTCAGAAGATGTTGGTTTTTGTTTTTTTGCCAATGGGCTGCAAAACAGAGTCACCTTTCATTCTCTCTAATCTTCTCCTATTCAAATGGAGTGGCTGGATGACATTGAACAGGGACACATTTCTGAAGCTGACTGTTGCTTGTTTGTCTATAGTGCTCCATTATGTTCAGTAGATGAAACCTGAAGGATCCAAGAAGATTGGCATTTCAGCCATCTGAAAAGAAAAGGAACAGCAAATATGTTTAGCCACCCAATTGAATGGGCTGAGAACAGTGTACCTTAATAACAGGAAGCTTAGGGAACCTGGCTGTAAATTTTTAACACATTCCAATTACTTCTGCCTTCATCATCATCCAGAACACTTACTATCGTTTCCGTTTCTGTGATTTTCCCCTGCTAGCTGGTTTATATGTATAAGTACTCTTTGTTTAGCAATCATTCGCAGTTACGACGGTGATGAAAAAGTAACTTTGCAACCAGTCCTCGCATTTATGACCTTCACAGCTCTGTAAAGCAAAGGAATGCTGAAGGAAGATCGTAAGCACAGTTGCAGCTTTACTTAGCAATCGCTTCGCTTAACGACTGAGTTGCTGATCCCAATTGTGGTCCCTAAACGACCTGTAATGGGGATGGACAGCTCAGCGCTAATTCTTTTTTCTTTTTTTTCCAATTGCAGGTTCGGGGCTAGAATGCCCCGTCTGTAAGGAAGATTATGAAGCTGGCGAGAGCGTGCGACAGTTACCTTGTAATCACCTCTTCCATGATGGCTGCATAGTCCCCTGGCTGGAACAGGTTAGCTGTCAGGGAAAGTCTTGGAAGAATTGAGCAGAGCATCCCAGGTCCGTAGCTGCTTTTTGGAGGCCAGGGATGATCCACCTGGGGCCACGTTGAGAGCCTGATTTCCTTTGGCCTCCTGTGTTTCAGACACTCTTTAATAGCAATGGAGAATATTAGCCATCTCAGGAGATTGGGCGGGGTAAGAGAGAAGCTGGCTGGGAGAAAGTCTGCTGGCAAAGGGGGTGGGGGTGGTCCATGGTTTGTATGCTACCTTCCTGCTACATTCTTGCGGGACTTTGTGTCAGTGATTGGGAGCAGATCGTCAATTTTCAGCAGAACATTTGTTTTGCTTTAAAAAGAAGAGAGGGGTGATATGCCTCTGATATTCTCAGTAACCACATTTTGAATGTTTTAAAAAGCATCCCCAAAGGTGCAAACTGTGGGCCCATCCCCTCATCCAGTGAGGTCCCTGCCACATTCTCTACTTCCTTAGAGGCCTAATACTTTCTTTTTAAGAACAGCAGCTTTTGTCTGCTGGGACATTGCATGTTTTTGCAATAAACCTTTTTTTTAAGTGAAATTCCTCTCTAGAAATCAATACGCAGCCCTTGAAAGTCATTTTTAAAGCCCAATAATTCCAAAGCGTGTAACTGAAAATTCAGTCTCAAAGTCAGGCGTTAACAGCTTACAGTATACTAGATAAATCATCTTAGTTAGAGTCCATTTAAAACAGATGAGTTTTTGACCATCCTTTTGAAGATCAGGATTGAGGGGAACAGTTATATATCTTGGCATGGAATTACACAGGATCTTGCAAAGGGGGTTAGAGACCATGTAATTAAATTATCAGTAGTGTAGTTTTTCCCACAGATGGCTGTTCAGCCTCTGGTTAAATGCCTCCAGCAAAAAGCTCACAGTTTGTAGAGGCAGTAGTTCTGTTGTCAGTAGTGCTATGCAGGGCTTCAGATTTGGGATTTGTGGGGTGCATATGCAACCCCAGTCGGCAGTTCTGTAAACCAAACAGTTTTCTTTGGTTGAACTGCCACTTGCACAGGACAGCCACACAACCTGGGAAAAGACAGTTTTTTTAAGGAGTTGCAGACAGGGACTACATTTGGGGCTGGACATGCCGAAGCACATCTCCCTTTGAATCTGAAGTGTTACACTGCCCTTTTAAGCGGATTCTCTTAATTTTTACCAAAATGTGCTTTCCTTTGTTTTTTCCCTCCCAGGAATGCCTCTGCATAGTTCTGTGTTTACTTCCAGCATCTTGCCTCTTGCCTGTCCATCATTCTGACCCTTGACAGTGCCAAAAACACTTGTGCCTCCCATTTTTATTTATTTTTTTCCTACCCCCGAATTCTTAGCTGTTGGAGGATCCACTCAGGATTGCCTCTGGCTGTATAAATGCCAAGCCCCCACCCATGGAAATCCTGTGATGCAGAGCCCTGTCTGGGGCGTTTGACAAAAGGGAGACTACAGAATAGGGCCGTGCAGCGCATTAGTTGTAATTCCAAAGGGGCAGAGGGGCAGGAACACAGCACTTGTCTGCTGCTCATTTTTGGAGTTGCCAACCCACGCTGTGTTTGCACTCGAGTGCTCCAAGGCCTCTTTCTGGATTTGAATCCAACCACCACAAGCTGTACTTAAAGAAAGCACTGAGGCGTGGGCCAAATACCTGTTTTCATTTCTAACAACATTTTTGCTCTCTGTATCTCTTTGTGTCTTTTTTGTCTCCACCTGCTTCCTCAGCATGACACCTGCCCAGTGTGTCGGAAAAGTTTAAGTGGGCAGAACACAGCCACGAACCCGCCTGGACTCTCCGCAATGAATTTTGCCTCCTCCTCGTCATCCTCCTCCTCCTCCCCTTTCTCCAGATCACCAAGTGACGAAAAATACTCAAACAACTCATGCATATTTAAAAAAAAGAAAAAAAAAAAAATGTTGCCACTCTCATGCTCTTTTCTAATGTCATAGCCCTTCCTTGCTTCTCCCCACCACCACCAGGGGAAATCTGTGGGATGGGGAATTTCCAGTACAGAGCTGTGGGGTGGGCTGGGAATGGGAATCTCCACACTCTCCCCTCAACCGTCATAACTTTGAGACCCTCGACTTCCCGCTCTCTTCCCTCCTCCCCCCCACCCCGGTGTTTGGTGTTAAATCTCGCATTCTCAAGGGACAATGGGGGGCCTCCTCTCTAAACTGTGCTGCTGTGCGGACTCTTAAAACCGGCCCCACCGCGCTGCGTGACGAGCGGCAGGGAATCGGAACGTGAACAAGCACTGGATTTGAGGGAGATCAGAGTTCCAAAGGGGCATTCTAAAGTGGATTGTCTATTCCTTTCTCTTTATTTTTTTTTTTTAATATAATTTTGACAGATGGTTTTTTCCCTTCTTGTCCTGCCATCAGCTCTCTTTAAGAACTGATGATACCGACCCTTGAAAGTAGAAATGTAATAGAGATCCTTGCTCCCTTCCCCTTCTTTCCCCTGTGGATTTTCCGCTGCTGGAGGAGCTACTGAAGCTCACCTTAGACACCAGCAAAAGGCGGGGAGGAAGAACAGGGGTGGGGAGTGGATTTAACAATCAGAGCCACTTCCTGACCCTGCACAGTTTCTCCTCCCCTCCTTCCCTGTTACTAACACCGCCCTTTTTGGCAAGTCGATATCGAGAAAGGGGTTTTTATAATTTTAAATTATTACTGCTGTTAAATAAATGGACATTTCAGCTCTAGCCTGTGATGCATCTGGGTTTGTGCCTCCAAGAGAAGATGAGATGAAGCAAGGCTCTTGCATGGAATATCTTGACAGGGGGCGGGGGGGTGCTCTCAAAGAAACAAAGGAGGGTTGGACCTGATTAGGAGTTCCAGGGGAGAACACCAGGAAATAACCAGGGTTGTAGGCTAAACTAAGATGTCAAAAGAAGCCTTGGAAGAAGGCAGTGGCCCATCACTTCCTTGTTCTTGCTGAGAAATCAACATGGATGTGTTTCTGAAGTCCTGGGGCTTGTGCTCAACTCAAAGGGGTCTTTTTTTACTGTCTGCAAATGAGGGGTCCCGTCTCTCAAGGGTGGTGTTTTTGGCCAGATTTTGCGTCTGAAACCATTCCTTGTTCTGTACACAGTCGATGGATGCTGCTGTGGTTGTTTGTTCCACGCCTCTTTGTCTGAGTTTGGATTGTTTCAAGCAACGCACGGAGGGGGAGGCTTTGTTACAAAAGTGGGCTTGTATGTTGCAAAGGCCTGTCTTGCCAGCAAAGCGCCCACCAAGTGATACAGGTCGTCAAAGGGCACCATTGGAGAAGGTAGGCAAGCTGAGACAAATGCTAGGTAAAGTCCAACATTGGGGCAGGCCACCGTTTTCCCACTCTTGTGCCGAAGGCTTTTGGGGGCAAGAGTCCACAATTCCCTGTCCTCGAGCTTAATAGACCAAGATGTGAAATGGCTCCCCTAACCTATTTTTGCAGTCTTCCCCACAGCCCTGCCTAGATCATTAACAGCAAAAATAGCAGTGTAATCAGAAACCAGATTTTTGCATTACAGTCCAAAATAGAAAAATGTAGGCCCTACCCACTCTGAGCAGTGATGCTTCGGCGGCAATCCAGGGCTGCAAAAAAGGGGGCCTGGTCCTGATTGAAGACACGAGGACTGGGGTGGAAAAAATGTATAGGAGCTAGGTCGGGTGGGGGGGCTTACAGATTGAACTGCCCCAAAGAGCCGTGTTGGTACAAACAGCAGGAGAGGAAGCCAAAGGGTACTTGCTGTGTTTGGAGTTGGCGGAGCAAAGAACAAACCAGTGGGGGAGTCAGGATGCAAACTTCCTTCCTCTTTGTTTTGAAGAACAATTAAGTTAAAGGAAGGTTTCCCACTTTCAAATAAAATACATTTTTCCACTCATCCCATCTCCATTTTGGCACAGGCGGGTTCTATGGCTGCAAAATCCCCCATCCCTGGGGAGATGTTTCTTGCATGGCAACCAGCAGGTGGCACTGAAGATCCATTCGTTCTGGTGTCTCTGAAGCCGTTCCTCTTTAACCTCCAGCCAGGAGAAGAGAGGGCACCTGGCAATTGTGGAACTAATTCTCCAGCAAGTGGTTGGCCCTCATTTGCAGGATTTAGCCATCCAATGGGGGATGTTTAATTGGGACTCCTGCAAGGAGAAAGGGGTTGGATGGTCTCAAGGGTAGCTTCTGCTCTAGACCTGGCTTCTAAAGCAGTTTGCACTTAAAATCTATCATAAGGATTATTTGGAGGCGTTTTGGGGCCATTTCCTAGCAATTGGGGATGTGGCCCCAGTTCCAGTTTCTTTCTCTTGGAAGAGTTGCTGATAGTCAATGATCTAATAAAGCCAAGCTGATGATCTGTAGAATCTATTCAGTACATTCCACTTTTAGGCATGTATGCCATCCTTGGTGGATATATATTTAAAATGCTAAACTTCTCCTACCACATAATTCAGTAAATCAGATCTGGGATAGGCAGTCCAGTATCTTCCCCCTCTTTGGGATTACAGCTTACTAAATCTCAGCAGGGCCAGTGATCAGGGATAATGGGAATTGTGTGTCAACACAGTGCAGTAATTAAGGTGTTGGGTTGGATCAAGTCTGTGTTTGCCGTGAAACCTCATTGGATGATGTTGGGTAGTCACTGTCTCAGCTCAATTTATCTTACAGGGTGGTGGTTGTGGGGTAAACATAGTGCAGTGCTTCCCAACCTGGGCAGCTTTGAGATGTGTGGACTTCAACTCCCAGAATTCTTGGCAATGACCATATTGGCTGGGAAATTCCGGGAATTGAAGTCCACACATCTTGAAGATGCCCAGGTTGGGAAAGGCTAACATAGAGGGAGAAATACTACGTCCCACACTTTGAGCTCCTGGAGGAAATGTTGGAAATAAAGTCTAATGAATACATAATTAAGAATCCAAAATATCTGCAGGATAGTCATTTGGTTACCACTGGCACAGGTGAGCCATGTTCATCAGTTGCTCAGATAATATGTTACCAAGATTTAGTTGAGCGTGGATTGTGGGAGGGCTCCCCTCTTGGTAATGTGCCCACCTGGGCAGTAACCCCAGGGCAGGAGTGGCCAGTAAACCAGGGGAACCTTGTGGCTTTCAGAAGTGCTACTCCACAGACAACCAGATGTGAGACCTTGATGGGCTCTAGAAATCATATGGGAGTGCTGATGCAATACTAATCACCTCATTGCATAGTGGCTTCGCTGCCTGGGCTGCTTGACACTGTGGCACGGTGGGTGGTGGAATACCCCAGATGTAATGGTGTTGGTGGCTTTCAAATTGCCTTTCTTGGGTGTGGAATCAGAGGTGGCTCAGAAGTTCATGGCCACTATGGCAGCAATGTACCTGACCCAAGTCATCAATGGCCAGTGCATGGCACAGGTCACACATTTGATTTGGTTGTCTCAGGGTGGTGGCAATGTGATCTGGATATGTGAGATGTTAACATCAGTCTTCTACCATGGTTGGATCATTCTAGATTTTTTTGTAACTCCTATCCAGTGCAGGATCTGTTCAGTCAATCCACCCAGATGCCTGATGGACCATTTGGGGTTTCAGAGGGAGCTTGGGGTTGCTCCTGAGGTTCTGATGCAAAGTTCAACTGGGGTCTTGGCTGCTGCTTGGAATAAGAGGGTGCTGGATGTGCTCTTATATTGGCTTGTGCTTGTGGATCCCAGGGGACACTCTGGTTTTCAGAGGAGCAGTGGGAGATGAAACAGCAGAAGAGGATCTTGAGTGCTTCTGGAGAAGAGCAAACAGCAAATGTGACCAAATATGGGTAAAAACCTTTATTAAGAATTACCTTGTGATAATAGCAGCAAAACATAATTATTTTTCCATTTTTATTGTACCTGGAGATAGGTGGCTGGTAGCCCCATGCAGAGTGGCCTGAACCTTCTGGGAGGGCCCAGAAGACCATTTGCGAGGCCCCTGTGAGAAATATTCAAGGCATCTGGTGGATAGAGTCACTCAGATCTGCTGAGTTGAATTCTGGCTGTGCAGAGATCCTATGGAGTTGATTGAGGTACAGTCTGGCTATATTATCTGGGAAGAGTTTGAGCCTGGTGGTCCCGAGGAAGTGGAGAGAGTCTCCAAATTGTGAACTTGGCCATCTGTGTATTAGGTCCATGTCTTTCCAGGCTGGTTAAAGCTGCTGGGAAAATGACATTTGGTTGGGTCCAGGTAGTGGTTAATTCATCCTTTTTTGAGGGGGTGGCCGTGTCTGCACTAAGGTGGTGGTAGTGGTCTGCCCCCCTGCTCAAGGAACCATCATTGGACCTGATGATACTGGATAACTTTCATCCAATTTCCAACTTCCATTATTTGGGGGAGGGTTGTGGAGAAAGTGGTCAGGCTGTAGCTTCAGAGGACTCTGGGAGAAATGGATTATCTAGACCCTTTTCAATCAGGATTTAGGTCTCAGTATAGTACAATGTTTTTCAACCTTGGCAACCTGAAGATGTGTGGACTTCAACTCCCAGAATTCCCCAGCCAGCATACTTCAAGTTGCCAAGGTTGAAAAACACTAAGACAGTACCAAGGCAAATTGGAGCAGTTCTCATAGCCCAGTCTGTTATGAATCTTTTTAGTCTCCTTTATAAAACTGTCTATATTGGTGGCCATCATTGCATCTGATGATAGGGAATTCCATAATTTTAATTATGCATTGCAAAAGAAATGCTTCCTCTTATTGGCTATGAATTGCTGTGCATTGCATTTGAGTTCTGTGCAAGAGAGAGAAACAGGGTCCCCATTTTCCTCCCTGTGCCTAATTTTATTTGGACTGAGCTTCCCTTTAACACAACCACCACCTTCCCCTCCACTCCAAGTTCAAAATCTCCAAAGGTTTTAATTTTGCAGTCTATTCCCTGACCAATGGGGTGTCTTCAGCAAACTTGGCAATATGACTGCTCCTCCCTAACTACAATTCCATTCAGTAGAAATTGGCAGTCTCCAGGTTT